CCGTGTAGCTGCGCGCTCGCTTTTTGTGTTTGGAGGTGAAGGCGCAGCCGGGGCATATGGCGAACGCGGGAACCTGGGCACGCGGCTCAGACGTGGAGCGGGTGTCCGAGCTGATAAAGGTTAGAATCTTCCTGCACTCTGCCAGTCCAGGAAAGAAGGGCAGAGCACGGCCAGGACCGGGCGCAAGGTGCTACACCATCTGCACCACGAGGGGATAAATGGGTCATCTGTTCTGGTCAGGTAATACAAAGCAAGAGGGCACAATCGTCTGAGTCAGAAACACTTGTCCTTTGGCTTCCTGGATTAGAAGAAAGGGTTTTGAGCTTTAATTTGTGAATAACTCTAGGTTTTCAAAGCCTGAGTGATGTCATCTTTAAGTGGTGTTCTTTTTGCCTGCATTAGCGTGCCTGGGCTCATTTCATTCATTTATTTCCTCATTCRTTTTATTTCCCTTTCTCATCAGCATGGGTATTATCTGGATTCAATCATTTGTCCAATTAGAGCCGTGACGCTGGACCTGTCTTGTGTCCTAAAACAGGAGATGAATGAAGCCAAAAGCGAACAAAACCGCTTTTCTCCGACCCTTTTTTTCCCCCCGCCAGTCTCTTTCTTCCAGTTTCTCCATCTCTCGGCCTTCCAAAATGTCTTTCATCCTCACTCATTCTCTCCCACTCCGAGATCTGTGATAAGATAGCATAGTYCCTCATATCCTGTTTCTAATACAGATCGATGAGCGGGGAGAGGACTGAGGTAAGGCGGGGACGAGGTGAGGCAGAGTGGGCCGACGTGGGGGAGGGTGGGGAGGGTCACGGTGCAGATATCTGAAGAGGAAATGAGGATTCAGAAAGGAGGACATCACTCAGATGCACATCTCTTTTCATTTAGCCAATCACACACACACRCACACACGAGCATGCGGCTACATCTCTGGAGGGTGCTGTCAATATTTCAGTGCCAGTAAGAAAGCCATTTCAGCTGTGTGATTCAGTGAGTTGTCTGTTTAAGCAGGTAAAAAGCTGCGAGCAACTCTCATAACCTTTTGTGTTGCAGTCAATTACAGTTCGGTTGCATCAGCTGGGTGAGGAGGTCCCGTCGGGGGTTGCAGCTTTGTGCGCTTGTTGTTAATCCCGTGCAATTTGCAGCATGCATACGCAGATGCGCGCAACACACTTTGCAGGCAGACGGTTTGTCTCTCAGAGTGGATGTGACCCACACACACACACACACACACACGAGGGCAGCAGCCAACCGCCGCCCCCGTCCCTTTGTCTGAGGCACCTAACTGATCTCAGCAAGAAGCATCTTCCGAGCTGAGCCGAGAGAAAGAGAAGGCTGTCTTTATTTATAGAGCACATGAACGCATTTCATGAGGTAAATTTGACGTAATATCCCAAAAGGCCGGAATGTTCAGAACCTGGGGCGGAACTCTATTCTTTCCTCACTTTTTCTCCRATATTAGACCCCTGTGCTGCACAGTTGATGGGGGGGAAAGGGGTGTAAGTGATACCAAAATACACACTCAGGGGCCTTTATGTGTGCATGTGTTTGTTTTGGGCAACAAACTGTCTACTAAGCCAGCCAAGTGAGGCCTTGGAGATTCAGACAGAGCAGGGGTAGGTTTATATTTATATAAAATAAGAGGAAGTAGGGAGAAATCTTTCTAAACCAATTAGAAGCCAGTCCAATAACGAAAGGGAGGGGGCGGGGATGGTCTTAGCTACAATTACCGCCCTAATTGAGGTCAGAGTTGTTAATTTACTGGCGAATTAGAACAGTTAATATGCATTTATCAGGATGGCCAGGGGAGAAGGCAAATATGTGTTGCATATGCGTGCTCTCTGTGTAGTTTTAGTTGCAACGCGAGAGATCACATACAAATACATGCGAGAGGCCAGCCGGCGTCTTTAGTACAATTAGCGGCGTCACATCTGGTTCAATTGGAGCTGTCATGTAAAGTGACGGGGGGGTTGAGTCGTAGCAGATAAAAGTGAGAGACATAAGACGAGACAGGAGAGGACAGTGACAGGGAGGTGATTTAAATGTGTTTGATGGGGAAAACAATGACTTTCAGTCTAAAATCACCTTTCCTTGTTCACGCAGAAATCTATCCACAACCTTTAAATGTGCACCGAATTTGTCTCTTTCCTAAACAGTGAACACTTTTGCCATTTTTTTCCAGTTCCTYTCCATCCCATCCATGGGAGGGGAGGGGTGTGTTCGTCTTTCCCTCACATCATCTGCAGCCTGTTTTTCCAAGGAGATTTTATACGTTCTTAAATATTCTCTCTGTTGCTGTTCCTCCAGTATTCTCTCTGTTCTTTGCTCCTCTTCTGCTGAAGTTTAACACAGTTTCTCCAAAAAGTCCTGACCGCTTACCCTTTTCTCTCACGCTCCCTCGTTCTGAGCTTAGCCGACACATCATCCATCTTTCTTTTTTCTTTTGTGCTTTTTTCTTTGTTTTTTGTTGTTTTTCCCCCCATCACATGATCACGTGTGCTGTTGCTTTTTCTTTTCATTTGCTGTCTTTTGCAGATGATACAAGCGAGCACTTTGCCTCTCTGAATTATGAATTGAGATTGCATAAAAAAAATCCCTTGAAGACACTGTTCTATTTTTAATCCAACACGTTCGCTGGTGTTCTACCTGCTTCTCTGTAATCTTTGCATGTGTGTGTGTGTGTGTGTGCGTGTGTGCACGTGCATGCGTGTTGTCCCGTGTGTGCTTCTGTCAAAATGAGTGCGTAAAGATTTCAAATAAATAGAAGAAAACGGACTACAGCTCTTTTGCCCCTCGCACGTGTCTTTGTTGGTCGATTTCGGCTGAGATMGGCTTCATTGGCGTTGCACTTAATAAAGCCTCGAAATGCAGCCCGAAAACAGTAATTACGGCAATTACGATCACAAAAGAAAATGCTTAAAATTATGGCAACACAAAGCTAAATACGTCAATTTCAGCAGTTTCATTTTAGGCTTAAATTACACCCTAACACAGTTAGAAGTGTTGTTAAAAAGTGGGGGGGGAGTTGGATGGTAACGAGCGTGATAACAAGTGTCTCTCTTTGTCTTTCTCGTGTCTTGTGCTGCAAAGAAACCTGTTGGCAAAGCTTTTGTGCTCTTGTCACAAAGGAGTAAGAGTGCCACCTGTTGGTCAATGTGTCACAGTTTTCTCAAAGGAAGAGGGGGGAGGGAATAAGAAAAGCAAAGTAAAAGGGGAGAAACTAATTTGGGGGAAAAGCACACAAGCATCGACACATAAACCCAACAAACAGACATCCACAATCAGCTAACCGCAGCGCGGTCTGATGTGATCTTGGAGGGTGACCTAGATGGAGAGCGGCGTCACAAAAGATTCACAATTGCTTACTGTCTCCAGCTGATTCAATAGGCAATCTTTCTATCGACGTCTTGCTGTGATACCATCTAGGCGTGAGCGTGTGTTTGTAGGTGTGTGTCTGCGTTATCTGCAAGGAAGGACAGACGGAGATAAGGAGAAAAAGGGGGAATTAAAAGAAAAAGAGGGAGCGGAGTGAAGGTCAGCGGGATTAAAGAGGACAGGGCAAAGGTCGGATATAAGAGAAAACACACAGAAGGAGCACTTTTCCCTCTGCCTTTTGTTTTCTATACCAGCCCCCTCCCCTCTTCCTCCATTCTCTCCTCCCTCCACCCCGTGAAAAAAGAAAAAAAAAAAAAAAAAAAAGAGCTGACAGTGGAGGCCGGGAAGCAGCCAAGGTGTCAGCGCTTTTCTTTGACCGGGGGAAGCAAGGGAGGGCGGGGTGAGAGAGATGAAACATAAAAAATACGAGGAAACGCACACACACAAAATAAAAGAGAGAAAAAACTGAGGGAGGAGAGAGAGAGAGAGAAACAAGCAACAAGAAGGAGCGAGCCTGCCCTAAAACTTTTACACTCATCCGTGTGTGTGTGTGTGTGTGTGTGTGTGTGTG